GTTCTTTTCACCCCAGTACTTTTTCCTGCCAGGGCAGGGGGTCGGACTAGATGATCTGCCCAGGTCCGTTCCGACCCTAGAAACTGAAACTATGAAACTATGTAGCACACATGCTTCAGCCAGGAGAGGTGAAGATCAGGTTTGCCTGCATTATGTGAGCAGTAGTAGAGGGGGTTGCACTGTGTAGCCCATGGGGTGGAGGAAGGGAGCCAGGGGGGCACCCGCCAGCATGCCGTGCAGCCTCTTGGTCTGTGGTCCATGTCGTTTGCAGCCCCTGGATGCCCAGAGGTCTGACAGCCCTGATGTAGGGAAGTAAACTTAAAGAACAATTTGCATAGGAAAATGCTGTTATAGTATGACTTGCTGATTTTTTTTGACCCTCTTGCTCTCAAGATGTCAGGCTGAAGAAGAGTGGAAATACTAATGCAAATTTGGAAAAGAATAATGAGTAAATTACATGCTCTTGGTGAAAATAAGGGCATATTGTTGCTTATGTTTTAAAAACTAACTGGGCTCAGGGACTCCTGCAGGCACATTGAAGCATCAAGGCTATTATCTGAATATTTTAAAGCATGTGAATATAGTATCTTGCCAATCACTTCTTAGCTGCTAGAAAATGTTTGCATCTAGTCCAAGTAGTCACTAAAACTTTTTATTATTTCCCAATTCGTAAAAAGCGTGGTGGATGTTCACAGCAGAATGTTTACATCATACTCTTTAGAGTATTTCAACCTTATCTACTGTATTGTTCTGAAATCCGTATCACAAAAAGTATTTAAACAGGGTCATTAAACTCTTCAGTCATGCCAATTAATGATATACGAGAGTCTTATTAAAGTAATCCTTTTATGCATATTCTTTGCCTCGCAGATATCAGCCCACCAGCGCAAGGAGTGGATCATAGGCAGGTTCAGAAAGAGCTGGGAGATGTCATTGTCCGACTACATAATCCTGTTGTGCTGACACCCACTACAGTGCAAGTCACCTGGACAGTAAGGCTTTTATAATAACTTCCTTACTGACAGCTTTAATCTTGTTTACTTGTCCGTATAATTCTTTTTCTCCCCTGAAAAACTCTAGTCCTGACCTTAGTCCATGTGGCCAGATAAGTTAACAGTGTGCAGACAATGAAAAATGTGCTAATGGTATATACACTATGTCTCTCTCTCTCTCTCTCTCTCTCTCTCTCTCTCTCTCTCTCTCTCTCAAACTCATTCAGGCTCAGAAGCTTCAGTGTGTAGCAGAAAGCAAGTTAACTGACTGGTAAAGAAGATGTTTTAGCAGTATGTGTCCCATATAGCCCATATAGTATAAAACAAGATCGATCCATACACTACTCTTAAGGAGTGAGCTCAATATAATAATCAAAGTTAAGATAAGAATTAAAGATAAATGATGTGTTATTCATCACTCACCACTTCAGTCCATGGGGAGCTTCTACAATATCTCATTACCTGATGACCCTTACACAATCTTCCTAGAGGGTAGATGTGGGAAGGACAGGGGTTCATTTTGATGAAGCATGGTTAGTTATGTAGTGGTATTTGGTTTTATAGCATGAACCTTGGCTTTGTTCAGTGGACATCCCTATATTAAACAAAGCCCACATCTTTTTGGCATTGTCTGCAGCATTTTTATTTGAGAGGTCAAATTATTGGGCTTATGCTCCTGAGAACTAAGTTTATAGTATGTGGCTTTCAAAATGCTACATACAGTATTTGTTTCCTGGAGCTTCAGTGAAAGGATTTGTAACCATAGAAGCAAAGAGTTCTTAGGGCATTACACACCACAAATGAGTGCTTTATTCTTCAGGCGTTCCCTTCCCTGTGGAGGGACAAACCAGAGATGGAGATGGAACTAAGTAGCATAGTAGCACACAGTCTTTGAATTATCATTTTATATTGAATGAATTATGCTGTTGGGATATACACAGTACAGAGTAGAACATTTTTGATACATGTATTGTCATTGAAGCATGGGGAAAATATATGTAGGGGACTGTAATATAGAAGAGGAAGTAAAAAAGCAAGGCTTCAGATTTTCCAGAAGCAGCACAAATGGCTCCTGTCACTTCCCTGTTAAGACAGATTACAGTATAGGCATGGGGGGGGGGGGGGGGGGGGGGGGGGGGGGGGGTATGGGGATGGGGGGGGGGGGGTGAGGGGGAGAAGGGTAGGGACAGGCTTGGAATAAAATGGGAATCCAGTGCCCCTGGAAGATCTAATAAACTATTAATTCCCCTGTAACAAGCCCTGCTACTCTGGATTCGCATACGGGAATATATATAACTACACACAAAGTTCCTGATACTTATCTGCATAAGTTTCACAGAACCAGAAATTACAACCAGTATTACAACCAGAATCAAATAGCACAGCCTTCCATAGTGTCACTAGCCTATTGCAAATGGGCCTAATCCTAAGGTTCTATGAGCTTCCAAGTACGGGTGGAGTCTGGTCATGGTTTTCAGCTTTGTCTGTAAGGTATACTGCCAAATTCAGACTTCTTACAGCCCTTGTTTGGTATTTAAGGCCTTGTGTAGACAAAATGAGAGGCGTGTGTGCACAACACTTTAAAGCAGGCTAAATGCTTTTGCACCACATTTGTGGTGTCGGTGTTTGCACACGTTGGCGGCGTATTGCACATTAATTTCATCCGCTGTAGGAAATTCGGCAGCAATATGCACCTAAAATGACTTGGGGTGCAGCAAACTAAAACTCCTTTGAGGAGTTTTAGTTTCCTGCCCCTACAGCCGCAGAGCAAAGCACCGGGCTCCGTGAAGCTCCATGGCTCTGTAGGAAGCCTTGCAGGCAGCCTGACAGCAGCCTGGGAAAGCAGCTCTGCCCAAAAAAAGCAGTGAGTCTGATCTTTTTTCTTGTCCCCTCTGGAGCTTGCCTGCCTGCCTGAGCTGCGCAGGGGTCTGGTGCTTCCCTATGTGGCTACGGTGCCCCCCGAGACAGCCTGAGCTGGGTGCCTGTGGGCGGGTGCTGCCTGGGGGGTGGCCACAGGTGCTGCGGAGGGAAGCACGAGCACCTCCCAGCCCACCTGCAGCCCAGGGACTATTCCGCCCACTGGCAGCTTGGCCTCCCCCGCCATGCTGGAGAGGCAGGTTAGTCAGCGGGGTGTGTGCACGATACGGTGATTTAATGAGCCCTAAATTGAAGCGGTGTTTTTAAAAACCCATCGCTTCAATTTAGGGGCTCTGTTTCATCTACACACACCCTAGGACATAAATCAGCCACCCCAGACTAGCAGTTAAGAGCACTAGAGAGCTTTCAGACCACAAGAGATCTTTAAAAAATTACAAATTAACCAAGATACATGCTTCTTTATTCCAATCTCATCCTCACTATGAGTCTCGGGCCTTTATCCTTCAAAGGGGAGGGCTTTCTCCTGCCTTCTTTCTCTCCAGCTGGTTTTCAATGTGGCAATAAGTCACCCAGTTTTAAACTCAGTCTCTAGCTTCTTATGTGGTTTCTAGCTGAAAAACTCCAGTCCTTTTCCCAGCCAATCTGCCCACCTTTCAATATGGCTGGGTTAAAAGTTCCACTATTCAAAGACTGTATCTCTGAGAAGATCCTTCAAGGAGGAGACAAGCCCTTCTCCATGGCAGGGCAAGGTGGTTGTCTGGAATGCATTTCAAGAGGCTTTCCTGAGCAAACTTAAACATGTGTTCAGTACATGTTCAAAATGGAGATTCTAATACAAATAGGATTCATAGCTGGATCCAGATATAACCCAGTGGGCGTGTGTACATGTGCATCAATGTACTTTAGTTAATGCACATTAAATCTAGTACCTCCACTGTGAGGTAGTAGGAAAATGTGCATTAGCCTGTCATAATGCTCCTTAACTAAAGAGCATGGGATGTCTATACTTGTGCTCCGGGGTGGATGGTGATGAGGGGGTTCTTTAATTAGAGCCTTCTAATTAAAGCGCCAGCAACATCACATGTATTCAGTCAGCATCCTGCGCTTCAAAATGGTGGCGGGGGCACTGTAAATAAAATTCATTTGACAAGTTTTTAGTGACACTTAATGCACATTAGCCTATTTTAATGCACATTAACTAAATAGCATGTTTCTAGTGACACTTTAATGCACATTAAAACAGGCTAATGCACATTAAAGTGCATGTGCAGACACGCCCAGGATGTTCTGCAAGGGGGGAATAAAAATGATATGAATGACCACTCCTCTGAGTTACCCACATTGGACTTGTGTAGAACAGGAAATTATATATTTTTGTAAGGAAAATATGCATTTGTATCATTGCTGATACCAACTGCAAGGTCCCCTGCGGTGAAAAGAAGTGACCTGACAAGCACACTGCAAGCACTAGTGCTATGCCAGCATTGCCCGAGGGAAGAGAGAAACCAAAACAAAAGGGAGCTGTTAATTAGAATGTTTCCAGCAACCAGGACAAATCCAATTAATTAACCCCAGTCTGCAGGATAGCAACCATGCTATCCAGAAAATAAAGCCAACATTATTAATATAACAAAACGACTCAGCTCAGCTAGTATCCAAAAGATCAACATCCCAGAAGAGACTCTTTCTCTTTGCTTTTTGCTATATGAAATGGCCTGGCACATAAGAAGCTCCCTATCTAGCATTCGGACTCCTGGCAGACTGGCATCCATCACTGATGTTCTTTGCATTTTGTTGATTTATTTGAATTATTTTCACAAATAATTGTTCTAAATCAGAGCTCAAAAGTCTAGAAACTGTTCCTCAGTACTCAGCTCTACTTAGCATACTGCATGAACACATGGGCATGCTTTCCTTTTGTATCTCCATCCAAAAAAACACACTTTTAAAAGAAAGTTGTGTGCGCAAAAGCAAGTACTTAGAAAGGAGGAATGCCAGAAATAAGGTCTCCTGTATACTATTAGTTGGCTTCCCCTTGTGGCTATGCATTATATGACAAAGTCCGTAATTACCTGTTCACATATTTTTTTCCCCACAGAACTGCCTCAGTGAGTGGGTATTTATTCATTTTTTTTCAGTGTGTGGCCCCAGGTCTTACTTAACTGATATCACAGAAGACTGAATACAAGATTTTTGTCTCATGGGTTTTTTCTGTGGTGCTTTTACCATAATATTTGTGAAACACCTGGGTATTAATTAATATGTCTTCACAGCCCTCCATGATATTAGAGGTTGGTATTGCCAACCCCATTTTGCCCATAGAGACAGAAGCACAGAAATAGAACTAAAAGCTTCAGTGCTCAGTGTGAAACACCTAGAACCCATTCCATTCTCCCCTCTAGAAGATTTGGCATTTTGCACTGAATGTATTCAAAGCACACCTGGCTGATTTCAGCTGCAGTTCAGGAGTTTTAGTTCCACCTCTCTCATATTGGGTGCATTATGAGGAACATGCAGTAAGTGGCCAACTGTGAAGTTTAGTTTAAGAGCCTTCCCAAGCAATCATAAAGCAACTCTGAGGTGGAGGCAGCGATAGGAGGATCCAGGGAAGCATTCAGTTGCCATAACCATGAGACTGTTCTTTATTCCTGCAACAATCTGTATATTCACTACACACTTCGGCAGCAAATGGAGGGGGGGAAAGGGTCAGGGGGCATGATCCAGATAACCAGCTTTCTGACCTTTGTGTAAATTGCAGCACAGGTTGGTGAGAAGTTTCAGTTCTGTTGAAGCAGCATTTTGTGATAGAAAATGGTTAAAATGAAACTTTTCAACCATCTCTAATAGGGAGCCCTCCTGGTGTTCCATCGCTTCAAGAATGCAGCCCGCTTCCCCTGCTGTGCACTTCCATTCTGCTTTCATTTCCTTTCCCTTTCTTCTCTCCTGCTCCCCAATATTGTTTTCCCTCTTGACCACGAGTCCCCAGAAGCCTTTCAATGATTTATCTTTTCTTTCTCTTGAGCCTTCCCATGAATGTAAGAAAGTTGATTCCTGATAATGATATTAGACAAGTGAATGAGCTACCTGACTCTCTCCCATCTTGCTATCTCTGACTGCTGCTGGCCATCCCACACTGATATATCTCAGTGTTGGGTGTTGATTTTAAAAAGAATGACAGAAATAAGAAATAGTAGAGCAGTCCCTTAAGCAGCTGTACTGTGAAGTATACAGCAGCTCTAGCTGTGTACTACAGAGTAAGCTTTGGAGTAGTTTCCACTGGGTGAGACCATGAACCTTTAGTAGCCTTCATGGATACGCATTAAAGCTTCCAAAAGTTGTGAAAGTCAGTTCTTCCAGGGCACAAACTAAGCAAGTACAGTACCTTGAAAAATCTTGTATATTATTCTGTACAGATGGAGAATTGCTGTGCAGATTTCTGCAGGTAGAATTTTATTCAGGATATTCTAGGAGGGTAATTTACATACAAAAGAGTTATTCTGCAAAATGTCTTTAGACTGCAGCTTAGTGGTCTCATCATCAGACAGCCACAGTGGCAGTGTATTCTAAGTTAAAAATGTCTGTGCCATGATTCTGATAGCTGTATTGTTATAAAAGCAGTCAAATAAGCTCTCCTACCAGTCTACTTATGATATTGTTCCTGTTATGATGTTACCTCTCAGAATGTTAATCTTTTATTCACCCATGTTAGATTATTTCAGATGTAGAGAGAGTAGGAAGTGGAAACATATGATTACCCCAAGTAACAGATAATCATATACATTTCATATATGAGAGAGAGACTTAGGTAAATATTAGGTGTGTATTGGCCTCGAAATTTTTGTCACGCATCAGAAATTGAGTTTTTAATGGCCAAAATCTGTTGGCCTGAACCATATTTCTGGTTTCATTCTACACTGCTATTATAAAACTTTAGTCTGTTACTGGATGTCCACTACTGAGTTAACAGGTGTGGCTAGAAGTGCACATATGCAAATATCTGTATAGTTTTGAATGCAGGTATTGATAATTATCATGATATTTTGTGAATTTTCAACCATTTCCCTTGTGAGAGCACTTTTTACCCATCAGTTCTTAAGGTTATCACAAAAGCACAAGCAACAATCTGAAAAAAAATAGTAATGTTTTTAAGAAGTAGATAGAAAAATTAAATTAAATGATATTTGATTATTAAATGTCATGGCCATATACCACAATATAGGTTAAGATTTAAGTATTACAAAGTATGCAAAGGAGTTAACACTATGTTTTGTAGTAAACATGAGGTTCATAAAGTCTTTATGTCCGTAAAACATTTAATTAATGAAAGTCAAACATGGATAAAAACAATTTACCCTGATTTACAGACTCCCTTCATCTGGAAACAGCTGCTTAATGTTCTTCTTAAAAACACAGCTTGATTCTTTCACTATTAACAAGCTATTATTGTGAGTTATGTCCTTCTTTCAGTGCATAAATTCACTTAAAGTGAATGTAGAGAAGTTTATAAAATGCAGGCTTAATGTTGTTGTAACATATGTTGCAAGGTTTTTAACAGTGACAGTTTTGATGAAAGATATTTTTGCTTTGCTCTCATAAATTAAGCTTGCTTCTCCTTGTTTGCTGTGGGTTTTTTTAATGTCATAAGAAGTTGGTCCCTGAAGAACATAATGAACAGTATAGTGAGGATATAGTAAAAGTGATGGAAAGAACAAGATTTTGGTTTGTCATCAGTACTGGGCTCACTTTTTCATAGCCTAGCCCAAGCAATCATATCCCTAATTCTGGAAAATCTTTGGGTTAGTTAGCAAAGTAGATACAGAAAATCCCACTTGTTGAACCTCAGGTATAAAACTGAATTAAGCAACCAGTCAGCTATATGTCTAGACAGACGCACACAATGTGTTGCTTGTTTCACTTTCTTTGGCACTTTGCTTGACAACCATAGAAGTCAAGATCTTTTACCAGAAAAGATTTTTTTTTACTGTTTTTAGAGATTAAGCTACAAATTCATGCCAACATTACAGTAGCTTGGAGTCATTTGATTTGATACTTTTCTTACAGAGAAAAAATAGTAACAATGTCTTCAAGATAATAGATTTTGAAGTGTTTTCCTTTCAATTGTGGTAACATTTATTGTTATGAAAGACAGGGTAGAATTGTTATATTACTGGATGCAATCCCAGTCCTGAATTCTGTTTGCCCAGCAACAAATAAAATACAAATATAAACATTACATCCCATCTGATGGTGTAAGTGTTTCATAATACCAGAATACAAATAGACTCCTTAGAACATCGGAAGCAACACATTTTCTTGGTCAGTGGTTTTTCTGCATCTGTCTATGTCTGTTTTACTTTTTGGAGTATCTCATGAAAGGTTGAGTGATAAGAAAAGTAGTGGACTAACTAAAAGTGTACAATGCATCTTCAGAGATCTGGCAATTTCTGAAAGTAATTTGTTTTTCCTTTCCTTCTCAGATTATAGAACATTAGCATCCAAGTGACTTTAATAGCTTTACATGCAGTACTCATTATGCCAAATTGAATGAAAATTATCTGTTTATCATAGTTTTTGGTTTTATGCTTTGATATTAGACTTGTATATCGTTAGACCTAATTAGAAAGAGTAAAACAAGGACATACCGCAAGAGGTGTATACATCTCTTTAAAAAAATTTAGTGAAATTGGAGTAATCCACAAGATGTTTTGATTTTATATTTAGAGGAAATTAGCAGCACTAGTAACTAAATCATTTTCTCTTTCTCCTAAATGCAGTAGGTTGCATTTTTGTTTTAATTTTAATATGGATTAAGTACTTTAAATATGTATAGTAATATACCATTCACTACCATTTTTAGGTTGACCGCCAGTCCCAGTTTATTCAGGGCTATCGAGTCATGTATCGTCAAACGTCAGGACTGCCTTCTCCAACCGTGTGGCAGAATTTAGAAGTCAAAGTTCCCACCGAGCGCAGCACTGTCCTAATCAACTTGAAAAAAGGTGTAACTTATGAAATTAAAGTTCGACCATATTTCAATGAGTTCCAAGGAATGGATAGTGAATCCAAGTCTGCCCGTACCACTGAAGAAGGTTAGTAAAATTGTGAAATGAATTGACAGGTTCTCCCATCTTGGGCTGGAGAATTATGTTCACTGTGATAATTGCACTAATAATTATGCTCCATTTAGTTCCAGTACCTTGTGTTTGTTAGATGGCTTTTGAATTCATCCTAACACATTCCTCTGAGTGTTATAATATTACTGGATCTTCACTGATGAGTCTTAAAGCTCTCTCCAAAAGAATACTCTTATTTCTCTTTATTACATATAACAAGTGACTTTGGATTTCTGACACATCGTCTGCAACTGGATTTCATTTAAAGAACCAGTTCTGTTGGTATAAAGCAACGGTTGGCAACCTGCAGTCCATGGACTGAGTCTGCAAAGAAGTTGGATTTGGCCCAGGAAGGTTTAACCAGTCTCAGATCAGCTCAGGGAGTCAGGCAGAACACAGCAGCACTGAACCACCCATCCTTTCTACAGCCCTCTCTGCTGCTCTCTTCTATGTGTACTTACCCTCACTACAGATGGGCTGGGTATCTGCAGCAAAGATTAGTTCAGGCAGCTTAAGCTCCCTGCAGGGCAGAGATCGTGGCCCATGGTAGGGGCACAAGCTCCAGTTCATGGCAGCAAAAAGTTGCTGACTGCTGGTATAAAGGATTCTAGAGGTGACTGTGGGGAGGAAGTCTTGCAGTAACAACCTTTTCTGAGTAGGAAATGAAGATGGAGGCATGGCTAGTGGGGGGAGGATGAGTGAGCTTTCCAACAGGTCACTGTCCAAGGCTGGATTAGAATTGGAAAGTTTCTGGTCCCATTGCTCAGACCATAAAACTCAGATTACATTTCAGATCCTGCCTGTAACTAGAATGCAGAAAAGCTAAGGTTGGCCCTAGTAGTACAACACC